GCCTTTCAAATAATCTTTAAAAAATTGGTAGAATAAAAATTGCTAGATACAAAAATCAGTATATAGTTCCAAATACTAACATTTCCATATACTAACAGCAAATTATCTGAAAAAGAAATCAAAAAGACAATTCCATTTACAACAGCTACCCCCACAAAAGGAAAAAAAAATCCTCTAGGAATAAATTTAACCAAGGAAGTACAATCTCTGCACTAAAAACTATAAAACATTGATGAAACAAATTGAAGATGCAGATAAATACAGAGATATCCTGTGTTCGTGGACTGGAAGAATACTGCTACCCAGCGTGATATTCAGATTCAGGACAACCCCATCGCATTACCAATGGCATTCTACACAGAACCAGAAAAAGCAATCCTGAAATTCATAGGGAACTCCAGAAGAGTTTAAAAGAATAAAGCTATGGGGCTGTTGCTGTGGTGTAGCGAGTAAAGCTGCCACCTCCAGTGCTGGCATCTCATAAAGGCGCCAGTTCAAGTCTGGGCTGCTCCACTTCCGATCCAGCTCTCTGCTATGGCCTGGGAAAGCAGTGGAAGATGGCCCAAGTGCTTGGGCCCCTGCATAGACGTGGGAGACCCAGAGGAAGCTCCTGGCTTCGGATAGGCACAGCTCCAGTCAATGCGGCCAATTGGGGAGTCAACCAGGGGATGGACGACCCCTCCTTCCCTCCCTCCCTCTCTCTCTCTCTCCCCTCCTTCTCTTTGTCTGTAACTTTGACTTTCAATGGAACATAACAAAGTCCAGAAACAAACACATGCATTCACAGCCAAGTGATTTTCAACAGAAGTGTCCAAAACACACAACAGGGAAAGGAAGTGTCTTCAAAAAAAAAGTGTTGAGAACTGAAAATCCACACGTAGAACAAAGAAATTAGATCCCTGTCTCACACCACATACAAAATCTACCTAACAGGATTAAAGGTTTACATCTAAGTCCCCAAGCTATGAAACTACTGGAAGACAACACTGGCAAAAAGCTTCAAAACACTTGTCTGGGTAAGGATTTTTTTTAGATATGACCTCTAAAGTGTAGGCAACAAAAGCAATAGTTAAACAGGACTACATCAAACTAAAATTTCTATAAACTAAAGAACATAACCAACAGAGTGAAGAGACAACCTACAGAATGGGGAAGGAGATGTTTGCAAACTCTACATCTGATAATAACCAAAATATATAAAATATATAAGGAACTCAACAATACCAAGAAAAAAAAAATTTTTCAAAATGGACAAAAGATTTGAACAACTTTTCTCAAAAGACCCACAAATGGCTAACTTGTATAAAAAACGATACTCACCATTGATAATAATCAGGGAAATACAAATTAAAACCACAACAGTCAGAATGGTTATTGTCAAAAACACGAAAGAAAATTTGTTGGTGAGGGATATGGAGGAAAAGGAATCCTTGCACACCTAGTGGGAAGGTACATTAGTACAGCCATTACAGAAAACAGTAGGGAAATGCCTACAAAAATTAAAAACAGAACCACCAGCAATCCCTCTCCTAGCTCTAAATCCACAGGAAAGGACACCCATGGTTGATGGGAAGACACCCACACTGTGTTTCCTGCAGCATGACCTATAACCGCCGAAACAGAATGAACTGAGATGAGTAAAGAAAATGTGGCGCACACACAAGGGAGCAGTATTCAGCCATAAAAAGGAAGAATTCTGCCACTGCTTCCTGGATGAGGCTAGAAGGCACAAGTGAGATAAGCGAGACACAGCAAGACCCGTCCCACATGAAGCTGGTCTCACAGAACTGGAGGGCAGACAGTGGTGCCTGGCGTGGGGGCTCAGGGAGATGTTAGCCAAAGAACACATAACTACACTTAGAATGGCGGAGTTCATGGCATCTATGGCACGGCCTGGTGACTGCAGTTAACCATGTATCGTATGCTTGAAAAACAGATAGGGGATATGAAATGTTCCCACCATAAACAGTCTCACTTTGTGAGATAAATAGACTGAACTATTCCACAATATATATGTACTTCAAAATGATAAAAAATACTATCTTATAGATATCCATTTAAAATGTATTTAAAAACATAGAGGATGCTTGGTCTCTATGACACACAACATTCTTATCTATGTCACATCAAAAATATGTTTTTCCTTGGTCCTAGCTGCTGGACACTTGCTGAGTAAGCGCATCTGCCCTCCAAGTTCCGAAGGCCGATGTCCCACCTTCTTTCCCAGGATCTCACCGCTCCCAGTTTAGTGAACACTCACTGAGGACCTATTATTGCCATATACCAAGTCCCATGCTAAGCAGGAGAGCTACTTCCTCTTATGTGAGAAAGCAAGGGGCTGGCCATGAGGCAGCTCCCCCAAGGTCACCCAGCACACCAGCACCCTTCATACTGCGAATTTCCTCCTTCGTCAATGCACCCCTGTAAGTCTGCAGCGTCTACACTTTCCCTGCAACTTGGGTGGAACTGGACACCAGGCCACGCACGTCCCTCGTCCTGGTCAGCGTTAGGCTGGAAGTGCTCATCTGCACAACCTTGCCCCCCCCCACCCCGCACTGCATGGGTGAGAACAACACAACTGCACACCTTCAGACACAGCAGCGGAACTCGGAAGACGCCGCAGACGTCTACACAACGGCCGCCTGAGGACCCGTCCCTGAGCTCCGCGAGCGGCGAGCTTAGGTCTTTACACCTTTTCTCATTTAAACTTCACTGATCTCCATTTCACAGACGCGGAAACTGAGCTTCCAAGGCCGAGCCACCCCCAGGTGACCGAGCTGGGATTAGTTAACTAGCAGTCTGCCGGGAAACCCAGGCCTGGAGCGCGGTGCGAAGCTTCCCAGGGTCAACCTTCCACTGCAAAGCAGTCCCAGCGGGAAAACTCACCCGAAAACACGGCCAGCACTACCCACTGCACTCACCGACACGCACCAACACTGCACTTTTCTTTCCCTCCAAATCTAAACTGCAACGCAGACCCCGAAGCGGAACGGTGCAGGGGCACCGCTCCGGTCCTGCACCGGGTCCCTGCCCCATCGGATGCTGCTCGGGCGCGTTCACCGTCCTCCCAATTTCTGTTCCACGGGCAGAGGAACGAACTTGTCGACTCGGCCCAGCACGGCGCGGGCCGACCACTCCCGCCAGCAGCAGGGCGGGCCGGAGAGCCCGAGGCGCACAGCAGCCCCGCGAGTCCGTCCGCGGCCCCCAGCGTCCACGCGCCGGCCTCGGGCTCGTTCCCACGCGCCCCGGATACAACTTACGTATAAGCTGCTACCCGCACGCCGACAGCAGCGCAGCCGGCAGGGGACCGGCCACCGCGCGCACGCTCGCAGCGCTCGGGGCGCACCCCTGCACCCCCGGCACGGCTCGGCAACCCCCCGGGGCCCCGCGTCCTGCGGGGGGCACCTTCCCGCGCAGCCGGGGCGCCGGAGCTTGGGAAAGCTCAGCACGTCCCCCACGGGCTCCCCGACCCCACACGACGGCCGCCGGCCTCCCGCGGAGAGGCTCTGCGAACATTAGCCTTCCAAAGGCCCCCGAAAGTTGCTGCAGGGCCAGCACCCCGGGCGGCGGAGCTAGACTCCCCGCCCCCCGCCCCAGGGCCCGGTCCCTAAGCTCCCAGGTCCCTAAGCGCATCCCAAAGGTGAGCGCTGGGGAGAGGCACCCGGGGGCGCACGCGGGGCAGCCTCGGGACCCCGCCGCGCGCGCGTGCTCCCGGGGAAGCCGAGCGCCAAGTTCCGTCGGGCCGCGCACCCCAGGGCGCCCCCGACTCGGCGTCCTCCTCGTGCCCTCCCGCTCACTTCGCAGCGCTGCGGCGGCGGCGTGTCGGCGTTAAATTTAAATTTCCTGGCCCCGGCCACAACGCTAACCCCATGAAAGCATGTGGCCGGCGCTTGGCATTTTGGCTGAGACCGTGTGCGCCGCGCCCGGGGCCGGCAGCCGTCCCGGGCGCCCCCCGCCCCACCCCCGCCGCCCCCAGACCCCCGCGCACTCCGGGCTCCGTCCGGGCAAGTCGCCGGCGGCAGCGCCACTTCCCCCCGCGCGGCCCGGCCGGCTCCGGGGCGCCGCCGCCCGCGGGCCCCCCGGGCTCCCCTCGCGCGCGGCCGGGCGGCGGGGGCGGCGGGGCCGGGCCGTCGGGCTGGACGCGGCCGGGGGGAGGGGAGTACCTCGTACAGCTCCTCGGAGGCCATGGTGGGCGGCGGAGTTGCGGGCGGCGCGCGGCGCCCGGCGGCCGACACTTTGTTCCACTTGGGTCCCTGCGTGGCCTGCGCTTCCTGCTCCCGCTCCGGGCACCGGGCGCCGGGCACGGGCGAGCCTCGCGCACTCCGCGGGCCGGTGCGGGCCGGCGGCGGCGCGGCCGTGCGCAGGAGCAGCTGCGCAACGCGCCCTGGGCGCCCCGCGCTCACTCCCCGGCGGGCCGGCTGCGGCTCGGGCTCGGGCTCATCGCGCCCCGCCGCGGGGCCGGGCGGGCTGGGGCGGGCGGCGCGGCTGGATCCGCGGCTCCCCCTCTCCGGTGTAGTGCAAGAAGCTTCCTACTTGCGACCGAAAAAAAAAAAAAAAAAAAAACCTGCCCCGGCTACTGAGCATGCCCAGTGCGGCCTGCCCGGCCCGGCCCAGCCGGCTCCCGCGCTCCGGGTTTTGCGGCCGCCCGCGCGGGAGGGACGGGACGCGGCGGGGCGGGGCGGCCGAGGCGAGCGGCGGGCGCCGCTCCGGGCCGGCAGGAAGGGGCGGGGCCGGCGGGGCGGGGCCTCGGCGCGGGGCGGGGCCGGCGGCGGGAGGGGCGGGGCCCCGGCGTCCCGGAGCCCGGCTCGCCGTGGCCGGCGCCGCCCACCGACGCGCCTCGACGTGGGCGCTCGCTCGGCTCCCCGCGGGCGGGCGGCGCCGGGAAGGGGGACGAGTCCGGCGGTGAGGGCTGCGGTGGCCGCCCGCGTGGGCGTCCCGCGAGCCTGGAGCCCACTGCCCCGACGGTCGCGGCCGCGCGGCCCGGCGAGCTCCTCCCGCCCTGAGGGCGCAGAGCGGCCGCCTTGCCCCGGGGGCCGCCCGTCCGGGGGCCGGCGGCGTGGCCAGGTGGACGCCCCCGCCCTACCACGTGCCCGCCGGCCCCCGCGGCCGCCGCCAAGACCCGGAGCCGGACCGCGCGCCCAGGCGTGAGGCGCGGCGCGGCGCTGGGCGGGCCGGGAGCCGGGGCGGGAGCCGGGCGCGGCCGCCTCCCTCAGCCCGCGGCTTCCCCGCGCTCTCGCCGGGCCTCCGCCTTCCTCACGGGGCGGTCGGGACGCGCGGGAGAACCTGCGTGCGGGCGACACGACGGGCGCGGGCCTCGGGCGGGGCCGGCCCTGCCCCGCGGCGTGGAGGAGAAGGGCACACCTGCCCCGCGGCGTGGGCCTCGCCCCACCCGTGGGCGCGGGGGTCGGGGCCTCGTGGCCCGGCCGCCCCCACGCAGCGCGGGGCTCGGAGCCGGGCAGCCCACGCGGCGGGACTTCCCCACGGGCCACTCTCACGCGCTGCCCCAGGCCTTACTCAGCGTCGCCGACCCTCCGTTTCCCTCACGCATCGGCTCCCGTCACGCGTCCCGGGACCTCCCGGCCACCAGGCTCCTCCCACGAACACGCAGGTCGTCGGGCGCCCGGCACAGCCTTGGAGCAACCTCACAGCCCCGGCGAAACCCCGGCCCTGCGGACGCCCCAGGAGCAAGCAGGACCCTAACCCTCGGGGCGCGCTTTTCACGGAGTGCCCGCCTCGAACCTTAAACTCCCAGCTCCGCCGTCACCTCGGGAGCGCGGCCTCGCGGACTTCCTGTCTCTCCCCGGGCACCGGAAGCACCCACGGGAGCTGCGTTAGAACTCAGGGCCACCCCCACCTCTAGACTCGTCTTCAGCCAGACCTCAGGTTCGAATTCGGCTGCCCAGCGCCTAAGCACCGCTGGCCATACACTCAGAAAAACTTGTCATGCAACATAGGGGGATTTCGGGGTCCACGAGGCAGTCCACGCATCCAACTTCCATGATCAAGTTCCTTGACAACCAGACGAGTGTTGCAAAAATGCATGGACAATGCGTATCACGCAAAAACTGCATGGACTTCAAAATTCTTTGCACCAAAACATCTTTTAATGCCATTTCGCGTCAACTTTCTGAACTGCCCTCTGGACTGTCAAGCAGTCTCAGGCTCTGCCCCCTTCCCCGCTTGGCTGTCTGCCGCTCCTCCAAGCAGCGTCTCTCCTCACCTCGTCTCTCTGGGCATACCAGCTCAGCAACATGAATTGTAAGCTTCCTGAAGGCAAAGACTGGGGACTTTATCCATCTGACAAGTCTCAGAGCAATAATTAGCGATTACTGCCACGACAGCAACTGCTCAAGCAAGTCCTTCCAGGTGATGATTGAAAATGACAAGTAAATTATAAGAAAAAGGGAATCCTCAGTATAAAAATGATACACACAAAAAGACGTCCACATAGAAACCTATATAAAATAATAGACTAATATGAATATCAACATTTCTTTTTTCCATAACCATCAACCTCTTCATGGCGTCCTTCAGAATTTCCTATACATTCCCAAGATGCACCACCACGCATTCAATGGTGCTGCAATGTTAAAACACGGTCTCTGAGGGTCTCCAGTACCACCAGTGTTGCCAAGGAGGAAGGAGGATAGGAAGGCATCCACCATAACCATATGTAGATCTTAAGCTACAATTTGTGACAGACATACACGCTCAAAGACTAAAGTGACTCTCCTCTGGAAAATAAAAGGGGAGGGAGAATTACCCACTACGAGAGTTAACTCAAAAAAGACCTTTAATGTTGATGGCCAAGATTATGCTGTTGTGATCAACGTTAAGCCAGTGGTGTTTCTGTAACAGAGCTGCTATGAGCCACTCTTCCCTACTCAACTCCAATGGCTTCCTTCCACAGTTAGTTGACTTGTCCTGGTAGAAGAGAAAGGAACCAAAGTACCCAACTAGTGACAGAGAAGTTGGGCTGTTTTTTTTTCATTGTCCACGTTGTTCCTCTCATCAACTCTCCTTGCTGCTCATCATCTAAAATACCTAATGGTTTACTGAATGTCATTGCACTTATGTAGGCAGGTATCACTTCATTAGTTCAACTTGTCTTTCTTTTAAGCAAATTCTGCTTCCTTTCCTCACTTTTTTATATAAACATTTTTTCAGTGCTCACAACAGAAATAAATATATCCAAGATCATTTAATGGCTTTGAATTCATACTCTTCTACAAAATAGTGATATTTGGCGGTAGTTAGCATGGCCACGTGTGTGAGAGCTCTGAAAGTATATCCGAAATATATCAGGAAGATTGTACCAAAAATACATACAGCACAATAGTCTGTACTAGTAAGATACATACTCATAAATCTTAAAAGATTATAGACCTGGTCAATAAGAGAGACAACATAGACACGACTGAAATACATATCTACCAGCTATAAAGTTCAACTCTTACCTGACTGGAGACCAATGTAAACCAGATTACTCCTTTTCCAACCAATGGTGGACAACAACTACTATCCCAGGTAAAGTGCTTCTGATCAGAAGTCACGGCCATTTCCCACCTGGAGAGAACAACAACTGAAATCTTAAATATAGGGTCTGCCCCTTACAGCTAAATGAGTCACTGCATCCATTCTCCCAAGAATCTGCATTTTATCTACATTTGAATCCCAGGGCTCACAAGAAGGATAGGGGCTGGGACTGGAAAGACAAAAGAAGCCAAAACCTAGCACCACCAAGCTTTCCCAGCCAAAGGCATTTGAAGGTTGGTTGGCTATTAAAAGCTGCCAAGAAGTTTTGCGTTCCAAATGCTACTGTAGCTTTGCTGCCTCTTCAAAAATCCCAAAATTTAAATGTGGTTTTTATGGAGAAGGAACTTATTAAATACCATTCTTGTTGTAGAGTACTCATTCCATAAAACGTGTTGGGATTCCCAACTCGATCACCTCAAAAGAAAGTAACAGCATTTCAAACCTGGGAAGCAAGATACAGAAACATAGGGAACCAGTGACAGGATGAATTCAGATGCTAGGACTCCCCTCTGAACTTGGAGCCAACCAGTTCTCCCTTCCCTGAAAGCTTAAATTAGATATCAGTTCCCTTTTCTGGCCAACAAATAGCCGATTCCTGGTTTCAGCCGCTGCTTCCTTCCGTGCCCAGATAATCAGTTTCCTCCTTTCCACTGGCAACCTTGTTCCTACCTTTTTCCATTATAGTCCTGAGTATCATTTCTTTCATGGGAAAACCAGTAGCCAGCTGCCACGTTGCTGCTTCTTGGCCAAATACCACCCCACTGGCGTCAACTCTGAGGCTTCTTAACACTTAATTTCACCAATTTCCTCTTAGGCTGCCCAAGGCTCATCAATTTACAATTAAGGGTCATTTTCTTTCTCAACTAGATTAAGTGTTTTTAATGGCAGTTCCTTTTTTTTATTTATAATGGTGATTCTCCCAAAAGAACCTTCATCATACGTAATTGTTATGCCTCCTTTTGACTGAAGTAATTGATAAAGAGCAAAGAAGTTTTTTGATTTTTTTATTGATAACTTTATAGATTACCCCCATCTTCTGGAAAAAGACCAGAACACCTAAAGAGCAAATAACAGCAAGACATGCCCATGACATTTTAATTGACTTTAGGGCCAGGGCAGTAACAAACTCATTTAGATGACTGAAAAAAAACAGCAAGTATAACTTTGCCTTGAATTATTGTGATGACTATTGAACAGTTGTCTCTCAAGTGAGACCATTCCAGTAACTTCTTTACCTTCTGCTTCACAGAGAGAAAAAGAAATGAGGCATGAGGCATTGAGCACAAAAGACATTTTGGCTGATAAGGTAAGTAGGAACACCAGGCCCGCCAAAAGTAGCCCAGGACCAGAACAGGTGTATGTTAAGTCTAAAACAAAAGAGTAAATGAGTTTGAAAGTAAAGCTGAGACCAGACAAACATAAGGAAACTCCAAGTAGAGCTTGGGTTTTTTTCCCCATCACTAGGACTATGTAAGTGTGCAGGTTCTAAATTGTGGTCCCCAGACCAGAAGCTACAGCATCATCTTGGAACTTGTTAGAAGTGCAAATTCTCTACCCACCCACCTACTGGAGCCCAGCAATCTGTTTAACAACTCCACCAGGTGATTGGATGTGTGCTAACTGCTGCAGAGCAAAATACTTGTATATATATATATATATATATATTTTTTTTTTTGACAGGCAGAGTGGACAGTGAGAGAGAGAGAGAAAGAGAAAGGTCTTCCTTTGCCGTTGGTTCACTCTCCAATGGCCGCCGCGGCCTGCGCACCGCGCTGATCCGATGGCAGGAGCCAGGAGCCAGGTGCTTTTCCTGGTCTCCCATGGGGTGCAGGGCCCAAGCACCTGGGCCATCCTCCACTGCACTCCCTGGCCACAGCAGAGAGCTGGCCTGGAAGAGGGGCAACCGGGACAGAATCCGGCGCCCCAACTGGGACTAGAACCCGGTGTACCAGCGCCGCTAGGCGGAGGATTAGAATACTTGTATATTTTT